GAAAAATTAAGTTTCATCACCAAAGGTTTTGTCGCTAATTTTTTTGGGTGGTGCCAAAATTTTGAGATTTTTAGTGAGAAAAAAATTTGTCACAAATTATAAATTTTTTAGTGAGGAATATATTTTCATCACCAATAATTTGAAGTACTTTTTTATTTTTTTATTTTTTTTGGAAAAACTTGATTGTAAATATTTTAAAGACCATTTGGTAAGGAATATATTTTTGTCACCAATAATTTTTAATATTTTGTCACCAAGTTTGGAGGGAGAATTTTGAGAAATTGAGCGGTAATGATAAAAAAAATAGGTTACTAATTGCCCCTTGTCTTCATTAGTTTTCCTCTCATCCCTCTCTTGCAAAACATAGTGCCCATTCTTCTCTTTCAGCTCGTTCTCCTTTTTCACCTCCGCCACCGATGTCACCTACGTTATTCTCTAAGCAATCATCAGTGCTGTAGGCATCATTTTTTTATTTTTCTATTTTCAGGTATGTTTTCTCTCTCTCTCTCTCTCTCTCTCTCTCTCGATTATTTCTTTGTTGCTAATTTCCCTTGCTTATTGAACATCTGCTTTCATTAATTTTCATCAGAATTACAAACTTTGAACATCTTAAAAAAGAAGTAAAATTTTCACTTCATTATGGGTAATATTTGAAACAACAATGGAAGAATCTCATTGGAACCTTTAGTAGAGGCTGATCTTTTGATCGGGTGAGCGGGAGGTGGCCAATTAATGACCTTCTCCCCTTATACCTAAGGTTCCGAGTCAAGCATCCTTGGTTACGATGAACAGTGGCCTTGGCACAAGTCATGGATTTCCTAATTTTCTCAAAATATTAGATGACGACTATAAGATTTGGTGATATAGTCCATTACTGGAAAAGGTTTTGCAAATAAAATGAATTTTCTATAAAAGTTTCCAAATCTAGACTCTTATATATGTTTCACATTGCACTCGTGAGACTAGACAAAGAAATCGAGTGTTTGAACTTTTTAACACGCGCGGGGTTCCCCTTGGGCAATGTTACAACTAATTTGCATTTCAATTCAATTGCCAAGGATCCTGTGGTAGCAGTGAATGTATGAAGCTTAAGGTTTATAAATATAGTAACGCAAATGAATTTATCTTAATGTTTAGGCCTTCCTTCTCTATCAAGACGACCATTGCTTCTTCTAATAGTGACTATGTGAGGCGTCTAGAGATGGAAATACAAGAGCAAAAGAAGGAGTTCCAATCACAAAAGGAGGAAATTTAGTCACAAAAAAAGGAAATTACAGCACAGAAACATGAAATTCAAGCACAAAATAATGTGATAGCAAAGATGAATGAGTCGAGTGAAGAGCATTTGAAGATGACATCAAGCATTATGGAGTTTCTTAAGAAGCAAGGTTTCAAAAGACAATTTGGAGGAGGAGGTATCCCCTGAACTCGTAGATCATCTTTTTGGTAAGTCTTGCTTGTTTTATCTTTTCATTTTTCTCATGTTAAAGCACAACATACTTGTAATATATTCACTAGCCATATCCAAAAACATTAAACATCAAAATTTGATATCTTAGAGAATAAAAGAAAATTTCGAGATGTCATTATCCTCCAAGGACCAGGAAACACGATCTATGTTTCCACTACAAATGAGGTCACTCCACTACCACTGTGCTAGGCCTAGCAGAAACTGTCTGCTGTCCTCTAAGCACATGCCACTGACTAACCTCTATTAGTTGGGAGTTAGTTACACTGAGAGACCTCTTCAATTATTAGTGAATATCAACTTACCCTCCTCATCTACAAATCCATACATTTTGACCCCTTCAATTATAAAAATATATCACTTTCATCGCTCTAGACCACCATCAGAATGTGGGCATTTGTACAATTTTCAATAGTTGAGGAGATCAATATGTATGGGTTTATAGATGATGAGGGTAAGGTGATATTGGCTAATAGTTGAGGGAATCTTGGTGTAATTGACTCATTAGCTGGCCCTGCTATATATATAGAGTACCATGTCTCACTCTCTAAGGTAGTCATCTCCTACTTTCCTTAGGCTAGAGGCATCATTTTAATGTATCATACTTACCTGTAGACAACTTAAACAGTTAAAATTCCCCTTTTAAACTCTGATAACCAACCCAACTATCCTTCAAGAACCTAATCCTGGTCCCATTCCCAATAGCAATCTCAGTGTTTGATAGATAAAAATCCTTTAACTAATGTCAATATACACCGTTGAGCCTCTGTTACTAATTCCTAGGAAGGTAACCATATGCCTCCTATCACATCATACTTTGAACAAATAATTCTTTTCCATAGAGCATGATTTTCATTAGCATACCTCCACCATCACTTAGAGAGAAGATAGTTATTAACCTTTCTAGTCCACCTTATTCCCAGCTCACCTCTCAATATTGTGTAGACAAGGAAACATGGTAGAAGTTAGAAGGCTTTTTGATTCATTTTCCTAGAAGAATTGTGTTATGTGGACAACTATGTTTTCTTGGTATGTGAAATCTCATCAATGTGAGGCCATTTTTAATCTTTTAAATGAGTTTAAAGCAAAGAAATTGATCGTTCCTAATGCTTTGATCCTTGTTAGTGTGTTTTGGTGCCTGTGTAATACAAAGGGTTATGGGTCCTGGCAAGCAAATTCATGCTTACTGAAAAATCTAAAAATCTCCTAGATATTGATCTGTGATTATGTATCAATTTTAGCAGTAAATAAAAATCCCAATCAAACAATCAAAACAAATCAACACAACGATTTTACGTGAAAAAATCACAATTGGAGCGCCTCCAATTGTGATGAAAAAAACCATGGGCAAAAGATACAAAACAATCCACCACGAAGACATAAAGGAATTACACAAGTGTACTCTCAATTACCTAGCGAATCCACACCTGAATCGAATCAACCCCTATGTGCCTCTTCTAGCCCCCGTCTTCACCTCGGAATTGTCTTGCACAATGTTGAATCCACAACGCCAATATCGAATCCACGATGATGAGCTACTCTAGAATCCACCAAAGCGTCAGGCCCAAATTCCCCAAAATCTACCGAATAACAACTCTCTCTTTTGTATTGAATAAATAAAACAAACAAACCCTTTAATATAATTCACTCAATTCATGATTGAAATTCTCATAAATATCAAAGGAAACAAGTAAAGAAACTTCAAAAGAAAACCTTAATACCCAAGAACAAGATCTGGAAGCAGTAATCCTAAAATCTGACAGAGGCTCGAGCGCAGGAATGGCCACTCGAGCGGATTGGCTAAAATGCGTGTTCAGAACAAGGGTCTACGCTCGAGCACAGGAATGGCCACTCGAGCGAAAAAAACAACTCCTAGTACTTTTGCAAGTCAGTGAAACTTCTGAAAGGTCGCGATCTCCGCTTGAGTGCATGAATGGCCGCTTGAGCGAAAAAATAACTACGACTGCAAGGCACAATTTGGGTTGGATTCGCTCTAAAACCCATAGCCTCATTGAAATAATCGAATAAAATTACAACTGAAAGGAACTTTGTCAAACGAGATTGCCAAGAATAAAAACCTAACACTTACATATTGCGAATAGGAACTGAAATGGAAGAGAAATTGATTAGTGCATTGGTTGATCTGTACTCGAAATGTAGGAATATAACATATGCACAGAAAATGTTTAAAAGGGTTACTTTTAGAGATTCAATCCTTTACAATCTGATCATAGCTGGCTATGCTCATTGTGGATAAGCAAATGAAGCTATCCGGCTTTTTGAGGAAATGTTAAAGAGATAGTTCAGGCCTAATGAAGCCACATTTCTTGCACTTTTGTTAGCGTGCCGTCACTGTGGTTTAGTGGAAAAAATGTGAGAAATATTTCCATTCCATGATAAAAGATTATGCCCTAACTGCCGAAATTGATCACTATACATGTATGATTGATTTGTATGGGAGGGCTAATCAACTGGAGAAGGCAGTCGGATTTATGAGAAGAATTCCTATATAACGGGATGCGGTGCTTTTGGGTCAATGCGTCCTGTGATTCTCTTTGGTTCTTGTTGGCATTAGTACTAGTGATACATGATATTCTTGTAATCTTTTGACATCTTCTGTTATTCGTGTTGCTTATCATCAAGGATTACCTTAATTCTTTGAAGTTTTGAATTGTTATATTTATATATGAGTTTAGATGTAATTGTTAATATATTCAAGTTTTCCTTGATGTTTTTTTTTTTTTGGACTCCACGTTGGATCATTTTGGGATTTGATATGATGGTTTTTTTTGTTATACTTAATGGATTATTATTAAATTTGTTTGATGGATATATTTTGATTTATAATATAAATTGTTTAGTGACTTTTTTTTTTTTTTTGGTGTGGAGTGGCGTATAATAGTTAGTAGATTTCTTAGTACATGGATATTTGTGAAATAATAATTTAAATTGAAATATAAAATATGGAACAAGTTTAGTGATGATTTTTTTTTCATCGTAACTTGTTATTATGACAAACTGATTATTCGTTGCTAATAAATATTTTTTATGACAAAATATTTATCGCATCTTATATATTTTCATTCATTTTGTTGTTTAGTGACAAAACATTTTGTCACATATACATATTTTCGCCACAAAATATATTTTGTCACCCATGTCTAACTTTTGGAGATGAAAAATTTCTTAAACTTTGTATCTTATTGTAACGAAATTATTTCCTCATCAATGATCAACATGTGTGACAAATATATTCGTCAACTAAAGTTACAAATATGGTACTAAATAACTATTTGATGACGAAAATAAAGATTTTTGGAAATAAAATGTTGTCTTATTGGTGACAAAAATTTTCGTTACTAAAGTAATTTCATTGGTGACAAAATTATTTTTTCTTATGACGATTTTTAGTGAAAAACATTCAATGATGAAACCGGTGAGAAAAATATTTCATCACAAATACTTATAGTGACGAAATGAGCTCTTTGGGGATAAAAAAATAAAAATAAAATCGTCATTCAAATCCAACTTCTTATAAAGAACAATTAATCCTTAGATTATTATGGAAAGTTTATATTCATCAATTCAATTGAATACACTAGGCACGCTCAAACATAAGTCTTTTTGGACTTTGAAGAAACAAACTTCAATATAGGAACTAAATGTTGGTAATTTGAAAAATAATCCGTTGATGTTTGGAGCACAAAAATAAGGGAATTTCTGAACTTGGCGATGGATTTCTTTTGCTTTCCTCAATTGAAAGCCCTACAATTCTTTCTAATTTCACCTGCATTTCCAACAAGAACTTCAATTCCCCCCATCTTCACAATGGCCTTTGCAAAACCTTGTAGGAATCCAATCCCATTGCTCGCAAAACCCGACACAATAGGAGCACTAGCTTTATCCAAGGCAAGCTCTTGATCAATCTGCATTACACCTCTCTTCAACTTAATTTGATTGTAGAACTCATTATCGAATATGAAAGACGTGTTTTGATCTAAAAATGCAGTTGGGTCCTGACTCAAAGGCCTCGATTGGGTCCCACAAAGCTTGAACAACTTAGAAACTAGGGTTGGGTCCATTGTTGGGTCGGGTTTGCCTGATCCTTGGAAATTAGAAAGCCGATTCTGGAAAAACCCACAATGAGCAACACCAACAGTGTGTGCACCCAAAAGGGTGACCATGTCATTGAGAGTGAGTTTTTTGGCTGTGAAGAATTGGAGTGCTTGTGAGACAGAAAGGGATGGGCCTGGCAAGTTCACGAGGTTCGGGTTGGAGACCAAACCGTCACGTCTTCCGGTTGGGACCGTGTAGTTGGGCGCACCGGCTAGGACTACCGAGTCTCGAGTTGCCAGGGTTATGATGTCGGCGCAGGAGACGGTTCCAGGGCAGGCAGCCTCAAGGTTTGACTTGGCCTCATCAATGAGGTCGAATCCTCGAACAGATTGGTTCGGGCCGGCATCTTTTTCCGATTGCGTAGTCTGTGTTGAGTCAATGAGTATAGATGCATCACAACCCTGTAAATAGGTTAACCACCCAAAAGAATTAGATCTTGCAATCATGGGCAAATGTGTAATTCATTTAAGATGGAACCCAATGGAACTTCATGGTAAAATTATCCCACCCAACTGTATTTGACCAAAATTGATTCTAATAGAAAAGGTTTTGGACACCATTAATAGGGTGGGATCAAGTATAAGAGTTGGTAGATCAAATGTCAAGATTAGCTTAAAGTTTGAAATTATATCACTATAATAATTGAGTTTAGAATTAAGAACTTGTGCACAAAATTTGAGAAAATCTGACCGGTTGCCATCCTATAGAATCATAAATGAAAAATGATATGATTGTTGGATTTATGACAAAAAAGATACGATAGTTATATTATTGAAAATACAAGTCGTTTTGATGTTTTGTTTGATTTTATTTTGTTTTGAATTGTTTTGTCTTATTAAGTAATAAAATCATGAAAAATGATATGCTTATAAAATTTTTATATATAATTTATGACAAGAATAATGTGATTTTGAAATTTGTAAAACAAAATGACCACCAAAAAGCCGAATTATTCTATATAAAATTTTGTACAATAATTATCTTTGTACGTCATTACTCTAAAATCAAAACTTCCTACATCCGTATGTATTAATTTTCTATTTGTATAATACTATAAGGCCATGTTTGTTTGGGCGGACTGAATTAGCATTCCCATGACTAATAGTCCTAGGACTACGAATTCGTTGGATTATGTATCCTATCTTAACTAATAGTCAAATTCAAAATAATTAGTCCGTACTTCAATTGTTTAATCAAATATCGGATTAATAATTTTATTGGACTATTAGTCCAATCCCAAGCTCATGTCCACCCAAACAAACATGACCTAAATCTTTAATTAATATTGAAGGCTATGCTCTAGGTTATGAGCCTGTCAATATCAATACACCCCAGTTCACTGATAAGAATGAAAATCAATGTGTATTCACCAGTTTATTATATCTGTTAGTTCATAATCCATGTATCGTTCATTGTCAATATGACTGGTTTATTATAGCTATATATTGGGTGATTGCTGTTCAATTTAATAGATGGAAAATGATTCATTCTTTTTTAAATGAACTAGTTTGTATTTAATTTTTATTAAATTTCTTAAATGATGTTATCAAATAGATTAACAAAGTGTGAAAATGACAAAAAAACAAAAAATGATACAATCAAAACTTCGAGATTAATTCGATAGAAGAAGTAAATTATAAATATAAATTATAATTAATTTACTTAGTTTTTTTTGTCAAATTTAGGAGTTGTTTGGGGTGTCCTAAATAAGTGTACTTTTTGTCTTTTTGGACTAAAAAATTGAGAAAGAAAAAATATGGAGGTTTGGGTTAACTTTTTGACTTTTTATAGAAAAATGTGTAATAAAAAATTGTAAAAATTGATTTGCAGGAAAAAATTAAGATTGGAAGGTGTGCAGCCGTAATTGTTGACTTTTGGTGAATAGTATTAACTTTTTAACTTTTTGAGTAATTTTTTGACTTTTTAACTTTTTTGCAACATGCCAAACTTGGCCTTAGTTATTATCCCAGGTGATGTGACACTACACTACATGGTGCACTATAAGTAGTACACTACAAAGGATTCGAATTTGTTCATTTTTTAATTTTATATCCCATGTTAAAATTTTGTTTTATATTGTCTCATTAAACTTTTTTTTTTTTTTTGATGACTCAGGTATCCCCACAGCCGAAGCATGAGACTAATCCTGAAGGCCCTGAAGTTAACGACCGGGCAAACCTCCAGTGGCCCGCACAGTAACCCCTCTACTCATTTCTAATTGGTTTGAATTGGATGTTTCAATGTATTTGAAAAGGTCACACATATCACTATAGTCGCAATTTGAAACAACGTTGTGCAGGAAGGGTTGGTGGCAGCGAGGCAAGGGCAAATTAGGATTTACACTTGGAGAGAGAAGACAAGAGAGAAAAATTGAAAGGTAATATAATAATTTTTTTTTCCTCGCCATTTTAAACTAATTTATGTTTTTTCATGTTTATTGTATTTATTTAGATTCTCTACATTTTGTAATTCTCTTTGGTCAATCTATTTATTTTTGGGAAAATTACAAATTCATGCAAACTTTTTAAAATAATTACATATTCATACATAAGTTTATAATTTTAATTATTTATCCTGAATTATTTTTTCAAACTTACACTAAACTATTATTTTTTCTTTATTTCATTTGTTATTTTTCCTTTTTTTAAATAAGTTATTTATTTAGATTGTTTCCAAACCACTACTTAGGAATTGTTTTTAGTAAGCAACTCTAACAAATCTTTTTATCTTATTTAAATCTTATTATATCTCTAACACATTAAACATCTTCTCATAAAAAAAAATATTTATTTAAAACATTTCAAATAATTCCTTAGAGTGTAGAAAAAGCCAAAGATTGCAAGGTGGAAAGTCAAAATTGGATCACACAACACATGTATATAGTTTGCTTAGAGTCAGATTCAGCACAAAACCTTACACGGTTTCTTCTTATTATTAAAACCTTAATTTATACACGTGATTTTTTGTGATGTGAGAGTGTCGGTGTGAACAGTGGATGTTTCTGCTTTGGTCTCTCTCGACTCACCAAGGATCCTCTAGAGTGAAATTTTCCTAAAGTTTCCTAGAATACTATATTGTGTGGTTGAAATTTTCCTAAAGTTCCCTAGAGTACACATACAATTTTTCTGATGTGACTTGCCAGTAAATCTCAACCACACAATATAGTACTCTAGGAAACTTTAGAGAAAAATCACTCTAGAGGATCCTTGCTCCTCTCGACTTTCTTATCATAATTTAAAATAGGGGCGAATTACAAACACCCCTCGAAATTTGGTAAAAATACAAATTCTTTTCTGAAGTTTAAGAAATTACAAATTACCCTCTGAAGGTCAAATTTTCATAACAAATTAGAAAAAATTAAGGGGAATCTGTATGAAAATAAAAACCTCATGAGACAATTTGTTATGAAAATATAAATCTCAGGGGATGAAATGTAATTTCTCAAATCTCAAGAAGGAATCTATATTTTCATCAGACCTCGAGAGAGGTGTTTGTAATTTGCCCTTTAAAATAGGCATGGCCATTGGTCGATGGCCTGTCCAATTATCATAGTCCAATTTGATATTTTTAGAGTTAAAACCAAAATATTTTATTTATAAAGTTGAGTTGGATAAAATTTGTTAGTTCATTTAATTTTTAAGTTTAATTTGGGATAAAAAGTTTTAACTTAATCCAGTTTGGTCTGTTCATTTAGAAAATATTATTTTTAATTATTATATTATTTAATTACAAAAAAAACTAAAAATTAATAAAAGATAAAAAAAAATGTACATATATATACACTTCTTTCTATAGCTAGATTAAAGTATTTTTTAGAAGATTCTATTTATTTTATAATTAAGTTTTATTAATATTTTAAATTTAAATAATTAAGAGATTTTAAATTTAAATAATTTAGAGATTTTAAATAATTTAATAACCCTTCAAAATGAAAAATAAATTAATTAATTAATAGTTCATATTTATTGTGTTAACTGTGTGGACTTGGGATTTAGACAATTTTTTTTTAAGATCAGGCTTGGGATGACTAGGTTGGGCTTGATGTCAGGCTAGGCTGGGTTTAAAATAACACACTCTTACTATATAATGTCGGCTTAGCCCTAACCAAACCTAGCCCAACCCAATGTTTGTCCACTCCTATCTGGTACCCACCATTATTTTTTGTTTTCATGTTTTAGGAAAAATAAATAATAAATTTTGTACAAAAAGCTCCAAAAGATCCAAAAAAAAACATCTTACTACTGTTTCTTTGGTTTGGTTTCAAGTTTTCAAATATAATTTTATGAGTTTTTAATTTGCACTTTTTTACTATTTATTATTAATTATTTTTATTTTTTTAACTTTGTAGATCCACTTAATATGGATACAATTAAAAAATACAAAATTTATGTAAAAATCTTTCAAAAAATGTCATATCAATTTCTATTTTCATGGTTTTCTAATAAAGAAAAAAATATTAATAATTCAAAACGTTACAAAATGTGCCCACAAATTAGTTTTCAGTTGAAGCAATTTACGTTTCACCTCCCCATATGATAACATAAAAGGATATTTCAACATTTGAGTCTTCACATTCAAAACCAATTTCTCAAAAAAAATTGAAAATTTCAAAAAAACATTCGAACAAAAACTACTATGTGAACTTGATCAAAATTTAGAGGTGCCAATAATTTTAGTAGTATTTGTCTATAAACCAGTTATTGGTACAAATAACTGTAGACGTCCCCAAATGTCCCGGGAGGGAAATCCCCCCGTTTTGTTCATTTGGGCTCACTACAGTTCAGGACTCAAATGTCACGGTCCTGTATCTAATCTCGCAGAGTGCAATGCAAGACCGAAGAATCATCAAAGAGTTCAAATCCGGCAAATCGTTTTTCAAAACAGATTTTTTTGAAAGAAGTGCCAAACATGAACTGCTTTGCCAGATACAGAGTCACCACCTAAATATTTTATTTTGGAGAATTTAGGAAACCCTGACTCGTTGCCTAAGGCCACGTGTCCGTCATCACCAAAGTTGCCTCGGCTCGGGAACTTGGGTACGATTGGGGAACGTCACTTCGTGAGCACCCCCGCTCGCCCGATCAAAGATCGGCCTCTACTAACCATGATATCTAGTTTTGAAAACATTATGCGTTCTTATTCCGGTTATTAGCCTAGATTTACTATGTGATGCGC